ATGCTGTTGTCGATTATGATGGTGGTGGTGAACACGTGAATTACAAACGAATTTTTTTTTTTTTCTTTCATTTCTTCCGAGCCGGTTGTTGTTGTTGTTTGTTGCACGATTGTAATAATGATGCATGATTTCAATTATTCGCCGTTTTTGTTTGTTTTGTTGACTGGTACGTATATAAAAATTTAATCGTTGGAAAAGATTTGGTAATATTGATTCTTTCTATCCCGAATGATAATGATAATACATTTGGCGTTTGTTGTTGTTGTTGTTGTTGTACTTTTATCTCGATTTTTGTTAATACGTTTTTTTTTGTTTCTCCAAACAAATTTATTTGTTTTTTTTTTTTTTCGTACGGCGGCGGAATCTCGTTGTTTGTTATTTTTTTCTTTTCCTTTTTGATAATATCGTTTTGTGACCTATAACCTTTTTTTGTTTTCGTCGTGCGCGTGTGTACGCGTGCGCGCGTATTTAAACAATATCAGAAAGTACAGTTAAATGAGAGACAGACAAAGAGAGAGAGAGAGTGAATTTTAAAAAACTTTTTTTTTCTCTTCGCCTGTATAATTTCGACAATCGAATTGCGACAAACGATTTGTATTTCCTTATGTGACGTCATCACGACACTCATTTTTTCTCAGGGGAAAAGGGGGGGGACAGTGAAAAAAATTTACCTTACGGCAACGTGATCGAAAGCAGAACAACAACACACGACGATAATAATTATAATAATATTATTACTATTAATGATAGTGATAATAATAATTATTATTAGAAAAACGAAAAAAAAAAAAATTAGAAAGTCAAGGCCTTCATAACTAAGGTCGAAATAAAGATTAATAAAAATAATATTAATAATAATGATGATAATAATAATAAAAACAATTCATCAAATCATACAAAAAAAAATAAAAAAAAAATTACCATAAGTTATGTATGCAAAGCGGATTCAGTAATAAAATATAAATAATAATAATAATTTTTGTTAATCCGGCCGCATCGACAAAGGCAAAATTTGTTATTAATAATAATAATGATGATGATAATAATAATAATAAAAGATGATAAATATTAAGAAGGGAAAAAATTTTTTTTTTTTTTTTCACAACGAAAAATTGTCTTCGATCGATTAATTTAATAAATTAATATTATCGCTATTTATTTATTGATTAATAATAATAATGATGATAATAATAATGATGATAATGATGATGATGATGGTGATGGTGAGGGTTTAAACGGCAAAAATCAAAAGAAGCGCGTCCCTGAAAATAATAAATTCTTTCTCGTTATGAATTTAAATTGATAATAATAGTAATAATAATTTCCAATTTCTTTTGTACGGTCCTACAAAAAAAATAAAATTCTTTTTGGTGGGGGGCTCGTTTTCGCGTAAAAAAAAAATTATTTGATGCAAACGACCCATAAAATCTCGAGGAAAAAAAAGAGGAATTCGTGTTAAATACGTTTTATATTGCGATATGTTAACTCCCCGAAATCCATCCGTCCACCTCCTCCCTCCCTCCCTCCTCCCAATCGCAAGTTTTCCCCCAAATTGTTTTTTTTTGTTTTCCCGTTTGAAAAAAATCTGTCGCGGTTTGAAATGTTTTGACAAGTTTTTAATCAAAAGCTCAACACTTTTTTTTTTCTTTTAATTTGCCTAAACGAAAAAAAGTTTAATTTTACACGGTGGGGAGGGGAGGGCGATAGGAAGTACAACGGGAGTAAAGGGGAAGAGGGGGAGGGTATATAGAAAAAATAAAATCGAGGGGCAGAAAGAAAAAGGTTAAGAGTTAATCGCATTAAACCATGTCGAACGTAATTGAATATCATGCTGAGAACGATGAATCATTCGGAAAACTGACAGATTCTCTCGATTCGCTCGACAGCAAATTTTTTTTTTTTTTTATTGACTCCATGAAGAAAAAAATAAAAAACTCGTTTAATTATCTGGAAAGAAAAAAAAAATTTCCCAGCTTTTCTTTTCTGGAAAGGAGTGAAAAAAAGAAAAAAATTTGATAAAGTAATCATCATCATCAAAACAACAACCACAAAATCGTGTGTTTGTTTTCATTTCTTTAAAGACAAAAAAAATTATTTCTCACGATTAGCATTTTATTTAAATTTGAACACACACACGCACATACAAAGGGACGGACGTACAAACGGACAAACGAACAAACGGACGCGTACACCGTTAAATTCCATAGAAAAAAAAAAGCCTCCTAGAAAAGGATTTCCATGTAAAACGTCTATTTTTAACCCATATTTTATTAATTAAAACAGGTTTCGTCGTCGTTTAGGTTTTTTTTTTCTTTTAGAAAAAGAAGAAGCGGTTGTCGTTGTCGTTGTTGTTGGAAAAAAACAACGAGAATGTCATCGCGATAGGTTAAGTAGTGTCAAACTTCCGGTACATAATTAAAACTTGTGTACCCATCATCGTAATAGGGTTAATCAATAGGCTTCCATTTATTTTTTATCATTATCATTTACATTTACATTTTTTTCCTTCAGAAAAAGGTTCTGGAGAAAAAACAAAAAATTTTTCCGAAAAAAATTTTTTTTTTCTTTTTGGAATTTTTAACTATTCCAGACATTTTTAAAAAAATTTTTTCGTACGGTCCGGTCAATCGTACCGAATACCGGTGGGGGGAGAGGGGGAGGGAAGGGAAGAGAGGGAGGGGAGGGGTGAACAAAAAATATTTCGGAAAAAATTTATTTATTTATTTTTTTGGGGAATTTTAAAAATGAAAATTCACGATATGAAAAAAGAAAACTCTAGACAAAAATTTTTTAAATTCGCACGAGAAATGAATAAAAAAAAAAATTTAATGTTTAGCTTATGTATATATCACCGATGAAAAAAAAATTTTTTTTTGACTGGAAAAACCGGAAAAAGGAAACGGAAACGAATGTAAAATGTTTTTATATTATTATAAAATGTTGAGACGAAGAAAAAAAAATAATAATGATCGAAATTCTAATTTTTTTTTTCGTTTGAAATTCGCATTATTTTCTTCCAGTTTTTTTTTTTACAATGTTGGCATTACCGTTTTTTTTCTCCAGCAAATTTGATTTTGCTAATTAATAATTAATTTATAATAAATTTAAATATTTAATCGTTTAATCGATTCATGTAGAATTTTATTAAAAAAATTTGCCCGATCGTCGTTTTGAATATCTTAAATAAAATTCCTTTGAGGAAATTTACCGTCCGAATACAAACAACATCCGGTTCCTTTTTTTTTTTTTTTTTATAAAGGTTTAGTTCACCGGTGGGGGGTCATTTTCGTACGAATCGGTATCAACGACCGCCATTTTGCCCTCGATGTCTTTTTAAACAAAAAAATTGACAAAGAATTATTTATAAGTCGATGCATTCGAAATGTTTTTTTTTTTTTTTTAAACAAAATACGTTTGTCGTTGTCGTTGTTGATGTTCTTCATTTCCGGGTTAGGAGGATCAGGAAACGACAAGGAAAAGGTCAAGGATTACCGGTCGTTATTTTCATTAGTTTCGTGTGATGACTTTTACGTTTGATGCGAAGAAATTTTACCACGATGACGAAATAACAATTTTTCCAGTCGTACTGGAGAAAAAAAAAACTGGAGAAAATTATGAAGGGGAATAAAAAAAAATAAATTTTTTTTAGGGTAAAGGGAAAATAATTTCGTATTTCGGCTCATCAAATAATTGATGATATAGACAGATGAGGGAAAAATAATAATAATTGATCATAATATGAATCTTTTACGTCATCCTAATTTCTACGTCATCTCTGACGTCACGCTCTTGTATATTACATTAATCCGATTTCATCTTTAATTTTTTTTTTATTAAAAAATCAATTTGAATTTCGCGCGCGTTTTTTTATTTTCAAACTTTTTAAGAAAAATCTTTTTCTCTCTTTTTTACTTCCCACTTTCCTTCGGGGATTTTAAGAAAATTTCTCGTACAAACAACAAACATTAAAAAAAAAATTCTACGTGATCGGAATTTCTTTTTCTTTCTTTTTCTAATTTAATTTTTTTTTTCTTATATTTATACATACTAAAATTTATTTTATAAAAAAAAAATGGCGTCGACTAATTAAACAACTAAAATTAGTTTTTAGCAGACGTTGATTTTTTTTTATTTTACGACGTTAAAAAAAAAAAAATTTTAATTCGGTGAATTCTTTTCTTTCTTTCTTTTTTATATAAAACGAGTTGAAAAAAATGTGCGCGATGATGATGATGATGATGATGATGATGATGATGATTTTATATTAACCATAACGTTATTTAAAAGTTAAAACAAGAAAATAAAAAATAAAAAAAAAAAAGAAGAAGCCGACAAGGTGATTTTCGTCGATTACTAATAATAATAATAATAATAATGATAATATCGCAGGTGGTTCGGTTTCGTATTATATGACATTAAATAATACGCGTTTGTTTGTCCGAACTTCCTCGTACAAACGGTTGCAACCGGTAGCAGATATTTAACCCGTTGGTTCTAACAAACACACACACACATGCCTACATTGGATTAAAGTTTTTTTTTTTTAACATTTTGGAATTTATTATTATTATTATTATTATCATTATTATTATCACTATCACGGCCATCGTCGTCGTCGTTGTCGTTGATAAATGCTTGCAACAAAAAAAAAAAAAAATTGATCAAATTTGATGACCGAGTAAGAGGAAAAAGGTTTTACGATAAGATTAAAAAAAAAAAAAAAATTTTTAAGGTTCTGACACGACCACCGTATCATCATCATCATCATTATCAACATCGCGGTCATCATCAACAACAACAACCACAAACACATACAAAGATTTAAAACAATAATGCCGGTAACAAACAACAAAAGAAAGGAAAAAATTATAATTTTGTTGCGTTGCGTTTTTTCTTGCGTGAAAATTTGTTTGTGAAAATTAAAAACGCACGCGTACCTTAAGTACCGTTAATTATTATTATTATTATTAATTTTTCTATCTCTCTCTTTCTTTTTACAGACGATATTAAATTCAATGCATAAATATCAGCCAAGGTTTCATTTGGTAAGAGCAAACGACATACTCAAGTTACCTTATTCAACGTTCAGAACATACGTATTCAAAGAAACTGAATTTATTGCCGTAACAGCTTACCAAAATGAAAAGGTGAGTAAAATCTCGTTTGTTTGTTTGTTGTGTTGATAAATTACCCTTTCGTGATGTCGACGTTATATAAAATCGTTACACTCTTGTGTGTGAGTGTGTCAATTAAAATACGCATTCGTTTTTTTTTTTTTTTATCGCGGATGACATTTGGGCCTCCACGAAATGTCACCAACAAACAACAACAACAATAACAAATCGTACGTGAAAAGAATATATATTTTTTTTTAAAATATAAAATCTCGCGTGAGAATTATACCGCTTATTATTATTATTATTATTATTATTATTATTATTATTATTATTTAAAGTTTCCAAGTTGTTTTTTTTTTTTTTTTTTTTGAATTTTCCCGCGCTTTTTATTTTAAAACCAATCAATATTTTTTTTTCGCGCGAATAAATGACAGCAAAAACGAAATTAGGGGAAAGGAAAAAAAAAAAAAATTTTAACGTTCGAGAGTTGTCATAAAAAAATTTTATTATTATTATTATTATTATTATTATTATTACTACTATTATTATCATTATTATTATTATTATTATTATTATTAATAATTCCCACGAGAAATAAAAAATAATGTGCGAATCTTGTATTATCAATTATATACATATTTTGTCTCGTGAAAATCAAGTTGGTAATCGTCGTGATGATGATCATTGAACTCGAAAATCATCATCATTATCATCATTATCATCATTATTATCATCGTCGTCGTCATTGTCGTCATCGTCGTCGACGACGTCATCCATCGACGATTTTTAAACCGACAAAAAAAGAGAAAAAAAAATTCTGCGTTTACGTTTCGTCATTTTATTAAAAACCGAATTTTTTTTATTTTATATTTCCATCTCTCTCGCTCTTATACTCTACCCGTATATATCCATCTCACTCTTACACATGAGAATCATCATATCTCGGTTTATTTTTTTTTTTAATGGCCGATGTTTTTTCGTTTTTTTTTTTTTTATCGACGAATTTTTTTGTAAGTGTTTGTCGTGTGGAAAATTTTAAATAAATTTTTTTTTATTTCTCGGTTGTCGGTTGTCGTCGTTTGTTCTCACGGTTTTTTTTTTATTATTAAAAAATGTCGCGGGTTTTATTATTATTATTATTGGCGTTAAACGATGCGAATTTTACGCCGTTTAAATATTTAAAAAATTTTTTTTTTTATTACCGAATTCGAGGAGCGGAAGTTTTTTTTTTTTTGGTTGTTTGTTAGGTAATAAATTGATCCCCGTTTGTTGTTGTTGTTGTTGTTTTGTAATTTAATCCCGTATTATTGTACGCACCACCACATAAATATCATCGTTCGATTTAATTTATTTTTATTATCATCATTTTTTTTTTGGTGAATGATGATGATGATGATGTACGAGAAAAGGAGGGAAATGAAATACTTGGGGGGACGATGGGGACGGTGGGGGGAAAGGTAATGTGGGGAGAATTCTCTCATGTCGAAGGAAAAAAAAAGGGCGACAATTAAGTCGTTGAAATTGAAATTAATTACTCGAGTAATAAAATAAAAAGAGAGAAAAAAATTTTTTTTTTTTCATAAAGCGAAGGAAGAGAAATAAAAGATTTTTTTTGTTGTTGCCACTTTCAACATGGCGTCTCGTCGCTTTTCTACCGCCACGACGGAAAACTTTTAACGTTACGTAAATTGCTAACCTTCCGCATCATTTAAAATCTTCTTTTATTCTCCTTTTTTTTCTCTTTTTTTTTCTTTTTTCCTTTTTCCATGATAAAAAATGTCGTTACGAAACTTCTTTTTCTGTCTGTCTGTCTGGTTGAAATTAGGGAGGAAACAAAAAAAAAAAAACCGGATAAAGTTATAAAAACCCAACCGATGATGCTCTCTTTCTCCTTTTCCTCCTTCTCCTACTCTTCTTTTTTTCCCTTTTTTTAATTATTACTGATAATTGATAACGTCTTTCGATGATAAGATACCAAAACCGTTATTTTAAATCCTTTGATATCCTCCTACAGGATAAGAAATTAAAATTCTAAAACGAAAAAAAAAAAAAATTAAAAAACGACGTGGGATTAAAATAGTAATAATAATAAACACGTTCGAACATACGAGTTATAATTTTTTTTTTCTTATTTTAAAGTGTTTGTCGTGGCAGAAACGAGAATTTTTTTTTTTCGGGTTGAAGAATTAAATTTATTTGTTTATATTTAATTTTTTTTTTTCTCACCGACATATTAAACATCTGGAATCGACAAAAGGTGTCAGAGGGGGCGGGAGAGGAGGGAAGAGGGAAGGGAGTCGAAACCTGTATAAGAGAAGATATATATTGTCACAAGGAAATTTTTTTTTTTTTGTAACAAACGAACGAACAAACGGAGGTTACGAAAACAAAATGATGGTTTTTTTTTTTTTTACGACCTTAAAAAGTTTGTTTCATCACATTAAAATCACATTTTCATTTATTTTCTCGTATATGCCTGACTGAGAAAAAAAAAAGAATTTTTTTTTTTTAATCTTGATTTAAAAAATTATTATTATTATTATTATTATTCGTCTTGTTGCTCTCACGTCAGTAAAATATTTATCACAGGTACGTGAACTGGTTTTTTTTGTTTCAAAGGTAAAATTAATCCTTTGACCTCAACCGTAAAAAGTTTTAACAAAAAAAAAAAACACCAAAAACGAAAAACATTTCGCGAACATTTAATCATTTTAAAAAGTCCACACAATCTCTAGAATGTTCTACGTTTTCTTCTCTCCTTTCCTCTCCCCTCCCCTCCCTCTCCCCTACCATTTATTCTTTTTAAAAAAAAAGGATAAAATCTTATTGTCACAAGGTTCAAAGGTCGTTTTCCCAGGTTTTAAAAAAAACTCCAATTAACGCGCGATTCGTGACAATTTTCTTTGATGTGACCTTTTTTTCCGTTTGTTGTTTGTTTGTTTAAACAAAAAAAACATTTTTTTTTATTCTTTTGTTTGTTTTTGTTACAGATAACGCAGTTAAAAATAGATAACAATCCGTTTGCAAAAGGTTTTCGTGATACTGGAGCTGGAAAACGAGAAAAAAAGTAAGTTTTTAAACCTCACACTAACTCTCTCACTCTCTCTCTTTCTCTCTCTCTCTGTTTCGATGTTGCATTGTTTTTAATTAATTAACTTCGATTCATTATTTAACCCTTCCTTTTTTTTTTATTACGACCGTCGTCGTTGAAACCGCCCCACTCCCGCAACCGCCACAAATTCAATTTCCCTCTCACTCTAACTCGATGGAAAATTGCATCGAAAATGTGCAAAAAAAAAAAAAAATTTGCATTTTTTTTTGTAAATTTCGTTTAATTTTCTATTCATTCTCTCTCTCTCTCTCTATAAAAAAACAAAATGGCGTACGATAAATGTTTTAAAGGTTATCCACAAAACCGTGAAAACCGCCAAAAAAAAAAAAACAAAAAAACAAAAAAAGGGGAAAAACATTTTTGCTGCGGTTTAATTACGAACACAAAAAACATTTCGCGCGAGAGAGAGAGTTTATAAAACTTTTTTCTTTTTATAGACTATAAAATTATAGCGAGATGAAAAAAATATTTTTATAGAACACATACCACCACTTAATTAAATTAAACGTTATTATTATTATCATTATTATTATTAATAATAATAATAATAAATAATATTTTCGGGTATGAAAAATTTACACGCCATAAATTTTTTTTGAATTTTATATGTGTGCGTATCACATCGCAACCCCTTTTGAACAATTTAACCTTTGACCTTTTTAAAGACAATAATTCAATACTGAGAAGGGTTGTTGTGTTTTCTCTCCCCCTCAATTCCCACAACCCCTTACCCTCTCTCATCTTCTTATTCTTTTTGTGTCGAGGGAGGGATAAATGGATATTTAGAACTTTTTCGGTTTTTTTTTTTTTTTTATTATTACAGACCGCCGTAATCTTTTTTTATTCTTCCTTTTTTTCCTTTTTTTCCTTTCCTTTTTTCCTTTTTTTTACGTCCCTATTCATGTCTTTTTAATTCCCCTTCAATTATTGCTGACAACTTTTTTTTTTTTAAGCGGAAAATACGAAAATTGTTACATTCGGGAGGATGTTTTTCCTTTTTTTGTGCGAATTAAAACGATTCACACTCTCGCGGAAAAAAAAATTTATAAAAACGCCGCCATATTTAATTTGAATTTTCTTTTCCAAGAATTTAAGTAACGAATTATTACCAACTGTTAAAAACTAAAAAAAAAATTATTTTGTAAACATTAAATACGATTTAGCTTTCAACAAAATTGGTCAAGTCCGACGGGAAATTTTTTTCTTTCTTTTTATTTTCTTTTCTAATGACACGTTTTTTAAATGAAAATAACACGTCACGTAATTAATACGACACACGCGCGCGTTAATCGTAAATTAAAATTTATTAACTCATCTACCCAATTGATTATTTAATTATTATTATTATTATCATAATTACGATTCGACCGGAAGGAAATAAAAGAAAAAAAAGAAAATTATTTTTGATTATTCATGAAATTTTTTTTTTGTTTTTTATGATGAGTTGCTGTTGTTGTCGTTGTTGTTGTTGCGATGAACAGGAAAATGACTAAAACATGAATAATAATGATACTAATCGAATGCAAAAAAAAAAAAAAATGTCGCGAACTTTTACCCCCCTCCGTATCAAATAATTTTTTATTATTATCATTTTATCGATAAAATCGGTAAATTAACGGGTTTTTTTTAAAAACAATTTTGGGAGTAAAAAAAAAATGAGAAGATGAGGAGAAGGGATGGAAAGGTTGATAAAAAAGGAAAACAATTTTATTTAAATTAATGAACGTCATTTTTTCTTTTTTTTTCTTTTTTTTTCCTTTTTCTAATTGAAGGAAAAAAAAAAAGAAAAAGTCAAATAAATTTTCGTGAGAACGAACAACACGCACATCAAACAAAGGGTTGCTGTTGTTGTTGTTGTCAAAACTCTAAAGAGGAAAAAAAAAAATTTATTTTCTCTCTCTCTCTCATTAATGATGATGATAATAATAATAATAATAATTCTTAATTGACAATAATAAATGATTGATTGTTTTGAAAAATTTTGTATCGAAAACTTTGTAAGTAGTATCCAAACAAAAATTTTTTTTTCTGGAGAAAAATAATAAGTAAGGGGGGAAAGGGGGGGATAAGGAGAGAAAAGGGTTTCTTCCTCCTTAATGATAATGATAATAAAAAAGGGTTATTTTTATAAGAAAAATAAAATGAAATAAATTTTTTTTTTTTTTTATTCTCGTATATAAACTTTTTTAAAATAATATAAATCATTTTTTTTTTCACGTGATCATTGTGGGTTTATTTTATTAATATAATAAATTACGTTTAAATAATAATAAAACAAACAAACAAACAAACACACAAAAAATTAAACGTGTAATTAAAAACAACAACAACCACGATAATAAAACGCCGCGTACCATAAAATAAATTTGAGAAAAAAAAAAAATATTCGACGACGACCCTTAAAATCAAAACTCGATAGAAAAAAAATCCGGTTTTTTTTTTAATGCGATCGATAAATTTCAAAAAAAAAACGCGGGAAAATGCAAAAACTTACCACGCACATCCCCACCATTTTCTTTTTTTTTTAATTTATATCGATCGCATTAAAAAAAAAAAAAAAATGAAACGACGACGAGTAGTCGAATGAAAAAAAAAAAAAAAATTTACGTCGTTTTTTTTTTTTTTGAAATTCTCCTCCCACGACTAATTATTAAATCGAAAAAAAAAAAAAACGATTAACGAGAAGGTATCGTGGAAATAGAAATACATAAATAAGAAATAAAAAACTCGAATGGTAAAATAATAATAATAATAATACTCGTTCGATAAAACCATCCAATTATCATCCATCTTGAAAAAAATTTTTTTTTTGCGTAAAAAAAAAAAAAAACGCGAGCGTGAGTTTTGCGTACACGTTTATTGGATAAATAAAGTTATCAATCAATCAATCAATCGATCGATCGATCGATCGATCCATCAATCAATAAAAAATAACGAGAGACAAATTTTTTTTTTTAATAATAAAATTTTATATATGTATACGACGCGTTGATTTTGGTGATTATTAAAAAAAAACTCGATTTTAATTTCTTTCTTTCTCTCTCTCATCCGGGATAAAAATGTATATTATTATTATTATTATTATTATTATTATTATTATTATTATTATTATTATCATTATTTAGGGGCATAACAGTTTATTAAACTTTATGTCACCTAAAGCAAAAATTACAGGTTCACGAGTTGTGTAGTAGGTGTGACACGGACGCGGACGGGGAGGACGCCCGGATTATGAACGTCGTGATTGAAAGGACTCGATTCCAATAAACTCCAGCCTCTTTTTTTTTTTTTTTTTTATTAACGATTATAAATAATTTTTTTTTTTTTTAAAGAAATTTGCATTTTAATACATTTTTATCATTATTATTATTATTTGTTTAAAACGATTCGACCTTTATTTTATTTATTCGACGTGTATCTAAATTAATAAAAAAATAAAAATTTAAAATCCAATTAATTATTTTTCACGTTCGCGTTACGTCATTAATTAAAAAAAAAATTTCTGGAACTATTATTATTATTATTATTATTATTATTATTATTATTATTATTATCAGGAGGGAGGAGGGACAAAATATTTCTAAGGTTTTGAAATTTTATTATTATTATAATGAGCGACGTATGACGTATAATAATTAAATTCATTGATAAAAGAATGGAAAAAAAAGTGTTTAAATTCTTAAACCGTCACCACCTGACAAATGTATTTTTAATTGACATATTGATACGAAAAATTAAATAATAATAATAATAATATTACGTAACAGATTGAGGGAAGGAGGAGGATGAGGGAGGAGAAAAGGGGAGGGAATTAAGTTTCGTTTTTTTTTTTTTTAAGGATGAAAATTAAATTAAAAGTTTTGTAAAATTTTCAAATCTGTCGAATTAATTTTCTTTTAAATAATTTTTTATGGTAAACGACGTGATCACGTCGTCGTCATCGTCGTCGTCGACGTCGTCGCAGACGTGAAATAATCACCTCAAAACAAACGAGATTTTTTTTTAGAAAAAAAAAAGAGCAATTCAAAACCATTCGTATCGCCTGGAAAAATAAAATAAAAAATAAAATTATTATTATTATTTGGCTTCTTAATTTTTACAACGAGACAAACAACAACAACAAACAAGACGTATCGATGAGTTTGTTATATTAAAAATTTTATCATTTTTTTTTTGTCGATTCATTCATATCTGTATATCATCTTACATTTTCATTCATTTTAAAATTATATGGTACCATATTTTGATGGTTTCGTACCACCTCCTCCTCCTCCTCCTTCTCTTTCTTCTCTTTATTATTATTATTATTATCGATTTTGATTGGTTGTACAACAGGTTTGATTTTTTTTTTTGGGGGGGAAGACTTAAAGAATTTCCGTTTTGTTAAAAATTTTATTATTTCGATTTCTTTGTTTTATTTAAATATATATTAAGTTCATTGACAGCAGCAGCATGCGCGTAACATTTGAACTTTTTTAATTATTATTATTATTATTATAATCAGGCAAGCACTTCTCGCCACTCAAAGACATCAACCCGATGAGTCTACAAAAAGTTTATCAGAAGTTCATCACAATCGAGATCTCGACGATGATAAACTGTTGGATGTTGTCGGAACGTCGGACAGTCCTCTACACTTAACGCATCACATTCATCATTCTGGTGAGTTTATTATATGTCTAAATCTGACCTTTGAAAAGCTTTGCACACAGCTTTAGGAATAATAGATTCTCTCTCTATCTCTCTCTCTCTCTCTCTCTCTCTAACCGTCTTATCAAAGATTGACCCTGGATTCTCGCCGCATACCCTGGAGAAAATAATTACTTTAGGTGAAACGGACAAGATAAAAAAAAAAAAAATTAAACTGATTGTTAAAAAAAAAATTTTTTTTGTTTGTTTGTTTGTTTAACTACTACCGTGGAGTATAATGAAAAGGTCAAACTCATGTTAGCGCTTTGTTATCCATTATAACAAAAAAAAAAAAATTTGTTTTTATTGTTTAAATGTTGGCAAGTTGTTAATTTTTTGTCCGAATGCTAAATGCGTGCGTGCGTGTGACCTTTTAACCGTAGGAATAACAAAAAAAAAAAAATTTTGTTTTATGTTAGGTGGAAATATAAATAATTCAGAACTTACGTCGACGCCCGAAGAAGCTTTGAGACGCCGACTACAAGAAGATAACATTAGACACGATAGTGAGAGAGATGATAGCAGTTGCTCCGACAGCGGAAACAACACAGCTTTCCGACCGGCTGGAAGTCCTAATAAAGATCATCCCGGTACATCCGCATCGGAAGGTTATCCGAGTCCGGATATTTCGGTAGGACCTCCCATTCATCCACCGCCGCATTTGTTACCTTATTTATATCCACCGGGTTTATATCCGCCGGGACATTTGTTGGGGCCTGCACCTCCACTGGGAGGATTACTCGGACACACTCCTCCGGCGAGCATGTCATCATCGTTGCTGTTTAACGCTCAGCTAGCATTGGCAGCTCAACATCCGGCGTTGTTCAGTCACGCAGCGGCATACACGGCCGGATTGCATAATCCGATACACGCGAATCCACTTCATAATCATTTAAAAGCAGCCATGTCCGGTGCTCACAGATTTACACCTTATACTATTCCAAATTGTTTGGGTAATTCCCCGTTGGGTAGCGCTTTCGAACAAGTCACTCCGGGCTCGGGAGTTTTCAATCACAATCGAAGTCTCAGTTGTAGTCCTAATTCTAAAAATGTACAAAAATCACCGACTCCATCTGGTTCTAATAGTAGTATACGTGCTAGTTCCGTTTCTCCTATATTACGACCACCTCCGACATCCGGTTTAAAAGCCTCATCTATGGCAATGCCTTCAAACGATCCAAGAACAATATCTAACTCAAATAGTAGTGCTAGTGAATTGAAAAACATTGAAAAAATGGTGAACGGACTCGAAGTTAAGCACAATTTATCCGCGGAATCAAACGATAATAAATAATTTTTCTTTCTGTTTATCTTCACTTCCGGTTTCTGCTTCTCTCTCTCCCACCCCACCCCCTACCCCTTCGTACTTTTTATTTTAAAAAAAATAAATAAATAAATAAAATTTATGAATTAGAATTTGATTTTGATTTTATCGTTTAAGATTTAAGTCGTTCGTCGTTTGATTTATTTTCATTTCCGTTTCATTTTTTTTCTTTCGATTCGAAAACAAAAAAAAAAGAACAAAAAGGAAAAAAGGAAAAAAAAATGGAGGCCAAAAAAAACCAAAAAATTTATTTATTTATAATATTTTTATTTTCAAAAAAATGTTAACAAAAAAAAAATAATAAATGTGCCACCCTCTTCCCCTGCCACAAATTTAAATCAAACGATAAATAATTTTCTTTTTTTTTCTAAACGACAGTTAAAGCATTTCCGGTTATAACTCGATCGATATTTTTTAAAAAAATCGATTCGATATAAACAAAAATAAAAATAAGACAAAAAATTTAAACTTAAAAAATTTTTTTTTTTGCAATGAGAGAGAATCGGAAAACGGAAACGGAAATGGCGGAAACGGAAGTGGAAAAAATATTTTAAAAAATTTAAACGTTGCAATATAATATATATATAATATAAATATAATACGTAGGGAATAATTTTATATTATACAAAAAAAAATATATAAAAAAAAAAGCTCTACTGCTTTACTCCTAGAAATATATTTCGTATATGTAATTTATTACTTTTTATTAGTGAGAAAAAAAAAGCGATCGATCAATCGATCGATCTATGGATTATCGATTGTTTTTTTTTTTGCTACCGGAAAGTAATATAAACATGAAAATTTTCGTTTTGTAAATAAATGTGTACATTAGATTTAAATTAAAACATGTTTATTATTATTATTTTATTTATAAAGAGAAAATTGTAGAAAATGGTAAAAAAAAATTACGGAATTCAAAAGTAGAATTTATTAATAATAATAATAAGTGATAATGATGATGATGATGATGATAATTATAATTATAATAATAATAATAATATAAAATGATAAAATTTGTTTTTATTTATTTAATTTTTTTTTTTTTTAACAATTCTGTTCGGGATCGTCGTTAAATTTTTTTTTTTAACGATTTCGCCTACAATTTAAAAAGTAGGCAGCTGGACAAACTTTTAAAAAATCTCATGGCATAAAAGAAGAAGAAGAAAAAAATTTTTTTTTTTTTGTATGTGCTAAGGAAAGTCCAATGAAGCTAATAATTTGTTCGAATCGTCCACCGAAATGGATGGAAAGGGAAGGAGAAGGAGAGGGAGGAAGAAGGTCAAACCTTTTTCTTCCCTTTCTCTAGTAGAATTTTTGTTTCTGCTTCCACTTCGTAATTGGAAACACACTGATGCTGTTAGTGACGCGGGTGAAGAACGACCAGCATATTCTGTTGGACTTTATACGGTTCGATGATTTTCTTTATTTTCCCGTATGTTTGATTTTTCTATACTTTTGTTTATTCACCCTTAAATTTCTTTTATTTTTTTTTTTTACAACCCCTCATACGCGTTTCTTCTTCCGTTTTTTCCTAAAAAAAAAAAAAATAACTGTCACGCTAATTTTTTTTTCCTTTCTCTTTCTCTCTCTCTCTTTTTTTTTTTTAATAAATATTATATTAGGGAAAATATTAATATTAATAATAATAATAATAATAATAATAATAATAATAATAAACGCAAGATTTTTTTTTTCTTATTCGGCGGCCATTTTTAAAAAAAAGGAATAAACAAAAGCAGGTAGTCGTTAACTGAATACGGTTTAGATTATCATCATCATCATCATCACTGTAACTGTCAAATAAATCAGACTTTACCGGCTTCATTAAGGTTTCTACTACCACGTCCTTTTTTTTTACCGAAAAAATAATAATATAAGGATTTTAATAAAATTGAATCGATATAAGTAATAAAAAAAAAACTTATTACCGTTAAAAAAAAAATTAAAAAAACGGAAAAGAGGAAGAAAGAAGGAAGGAAGGAAAGAAGGATGGAAAATAAGAAATTTATATTGGTATAAAAAAAAAATGGATGGCATTAACTTGATTTTGATAATAGATAAAGAGGAATAAGGGTGAAAATATCATCACTTATGGCGTCAGGTGTTAGCAACGAATTTTCTTAAATAAATGACTCCGGTTTTGACAGTGTGTTAAGAGTTAAACCTTTGGGATTTTATATTGATGACCTTTGAGAGATCCGCTTGCCTTATATCGGTTTGACACGCTATCCCGACGAAAAAAAAGACAACAACAACAAACAACAAACAACTAAAGATAAAAAGATGAGACGAAAAACAAAAAAAAGCTCATTCGTGAAGCTTTACACCTGACGATTGAATGATATCTTTTAGAAAAAAGGTAAATGGATTTTTTTTTATAAGAGAGAGAGAGAGAGAGAGAGAATGGAATAATCGATAGTTAGAAAAGAAAAACAAACGGAGTTTTATTATTATTATTATTATTTATAATTGGTTTGTAAATGTAAACCTGTCGAAAGGGAAAAAAGTTTAAAAAATTTTTTTCTTCTTCTTCCTTGTTATCGTTTAGGGGTAAAAAAAAAAAATTGATTAACAAATCTGTTCGGAAATGAATTGTTAATAATAATAATAAAACTGCATAGAGTTAATTAAAAAATTTGTATAGAGAGAGTGAGAGAGATAGAGAGAGAGAAAAAACATTGAATGGGTTAGGTTTTGTTAAATATTTTTGTTTGTACAAAAATTTACGCGAAATTAATGAATCGAAATAAAATGATTGTTCGTTTGTTATTCAAACAATCAAGGGAGAATAGGTAGGTGGGGGGAAAATGGAAAATTGTTTTTTCCTTTTTTCTCATTAACCCGTTCCCCCTTCTCCCACGCAACCACAAAAAAAAAATCGGTCTCTGAATATTCAAAAAGTTTTTAATCAATTGTTGCAATACACCTGCCATTAAATAAATTTTTTTTTGTTTGCATTTTCACGATTTAAATTTAAAAACAGACAACAACAACAACAATCGCAACAACAACCGCAACAATTAATTTTTTCATTCTTTTTTTTTTGGCAGAGTGACGTTAAAATGCGACACGACAAACAAACAAAACGAATGCAAATTTTTTAACGTTTTTATTTGTTTCCCTCTCTCTCTCTCTCTCTTTCACATAAATATGTATTTGTCGCAGAATTGACAACATTACAAAAAAATATTTTGAATTTCAGCTACCGAATTGAAACGATCAACAACAACAACCAGTTTATTAATCGATAAAAAAAAAAAACGCGGATTTAATAATAATTTGAAATTCAATGACGTGAGAAGATAAGAAAAAAAAAAAATAAACAAAATGGTGGAAAATCCGTTAAAAAGAAAAACAAGAAGTCAAAAGTGGGCAAAGTGGCGACATAAAAGCAATTTGTTTATCATTAAAAACAAGACAAGACGATAAGAGAGAGAGAGAGAGAAAATGTTCGGCAAGTCTTTGTTATCATCTTCGGTGGTCCTTAAATGGGATATCTATGTCTATCCTTTTCCTTTTTAATCTCGAATAATAATCACCCGGTTTAAATATATTCGCTAATAAAAATCATCATTTTTTTTTCTGCCACGTTTCGATCGTTTTGAAGAAAAAAAAAAAGTGGCAGTAGATTTTTTTTTATAAAAAATGGTAAACAATGAATAGTGTAAGAGAGAGGGAGAGTTGGGTTTTATTATTGTTGTTTAAAAGTTTAAAAATTTTACGTTCGTCCACCATTCTTTTTCATCTAACATTTTTATCTCTTTAAAAGTCTAAATGCACGATTCCAGAGCGTCTCCAGGGAAAGCTGACCCTATTTGTTGGAGAAAATAAGACTTTTAAATCGATAAAACTTATCAAGATCTTTTGGATCTTGCCCTCGGAAATAATTTCTTTATTTTTCTTCTTCTTCTTCTTCTTTCCCTGTTTTTTTTTCATTCTTATTCTTATCCGCATATTATTATTATTATTTGCGGTTTTCCTATTTTTTTATTCTTATCAACCCAACTAAAATTTTTTTGTTTTTCGACCATGAATAAGTAAAATTCACGTGAGTAGGTGTGTGTGCGTGTCGAACCTCCCCTTTCCTCCTCCCCTTCCCTCCCCGCCGAAAAGAAGAGAAAAAGGGGGTTCGGCGGAAAAGTCGGAAAATTTATGCTGCGGTTGAGTCGTACTGTCAGAAATTGATATTGATCTTAGGGGAGACTTGATCTGGATCAAAGTCTGATAGCTTTTATAAAACCCAAAATATATATAATTTTTTTTTTGATTTCCCATCTTATTCCGCTCGTTTTATTAACCGCAATAACAACAAAACATAATAATAATAATAATAATAAATCTAAAAGTGACCGTAGAAAAAAAATTTATTTATATTTTTAATATATATATTTCGTTCGCCGCCATTTTTATCGTACATTAAAATAATATCAATAAATCAACGACGACATCAAAAAAAAATTTTATTTATTTTTATTTATTTATTTATTATTATTATTTTTATAATTATTTATTAAATCGTGTATTGATACAATTATTTTTATTATTATTATCGTGTAAATAAATTTACGCGACGGACGTACGACGTGAAAAACTTCTTTAAAAAAAAAAAAATAAAAAAAAACGTTTAAAAATCCGACGCCATTTTGTTATTACGTCACACTAAAAATTTCCTCACTCTCTCCATTTACCAACGGTAAAAAAAAAAAAAAAAAGCGCGGGAAAATTTGAGAAGAAAAAAAAAATGGAACGCGTAGGTACGTTCCATACCAATAATTTTAATTGTTACCAATTTTAAAAATTAATTTTTTTTTTTTAGTTGTTTTCTATTACGTAGTCATTACGTAGTAATGACGTAATTACTAAAACAAATTTTTGGTATTCATTTTCATTTTCATTGCCGTGTCGTCTGCTTTCGTTTTTTTTTTTTATTTTAAATCTCGTTTAATTAAAAGTCGTTTTCATTTTTACAC